TCATTACAAACCTGTTTACTTCGAAAACTGACTGCGCACCCGGCGCCAATCTACCCGGCGCAGAAAGATGTGAAACAGCCTCTGTTCGTCCATTTATCGAAGACTACCTCCCTCCCCAACAGCCTGCGGATTTGACAACCTGGACCGATCTGGTACGGGAACATCTTCATTGTCATACATCTTCATGAGTAGATGATTAATTATACTTAGACAGGTCTCCCGCCTCAAACCTGTACAACATAAGTGGCCTATCAAATGCCGAAGCTTCTGCTGGTAAATCTTCGAAGATCACAAGGTGAAGGCATACGGAACTCCGTCAATCCAAGTTTAAAGTGCCTCTTCATCCGATAATTTCAAAAATCCGTGATAGGTCTTCATTACTAACGAAGAACCTCCGCCGTTCTCTGTAGTAACCTGTGAAAGCCAGGCAACAAGTGAACGGAATGCAGGCTTGAGGAAGCGTTCGAATTGTAGGCACTTATGGAATTGTATGACTGTTACCCGTTTCTTGGAAAGACGACGTGGAAAAGAAACGGATTCTGCAGCAAGTTGGCACTCACTTTTGCAGAACATAATGGAGGAAAAATTAGTATGTAGCCATATAATGAAGAACATCCACTGTAATAAAGGCAATCTTGGTGACTAAGTAGAGAGACGCGTACAAAGGAAGACCGGTGGCCGACGCATCACGTGGTAAAGAAAACTAAATGGGTATCTACTGCCGACTAAAAGTTCTTCTTTCGTCTACGCAATGAACAACTTAGAATACCTGAATGTGGAATGTTGGGATGCTCAGGTATCACAAAACTTAAGCAGCCTCGGATTTGCAGAACGGCTACAGATAATAAAATAGAAGTTAACAGAACCAGTTAACTTCACAGTCAATAATGTCATCATTTGCCAAAAGTGCTTCAGATGCTTAAGATACTTAAGGTCAGGCACCTTATTGTCTAACCATTTCTTAGTATCCTGCGACGATAAGTTATGACGATCGTTCTCGCAACCACTGTCATCTTAGTGTTGACACTTTGGGTGTCTTAAAAACGGCTACTCTGCTTCTACATCTGATTCACAATCCTTGAACTTGACGACGGAAATGCAGATGCGTCTGCAACATTAAAATATCGAACCATTATGATGCAGAACCTGAGACTTCGTGCTGGCGGTACAGCTCCTTCAAAAGGGAATAGACAAGAATTTTTAAAACAAGTTTGCTGGAGAATTCTCTAAACCAGTCCCTGATTTCATGCATCAGCAAATTTAAGACTGTCATTACACTCACCTTCAGACGTGACAAAAATTCCGTCGGTATTTCTGTATTTACCAAAAAGAAAAGAATTAGATTCGGTTGATTCACAAGAGTTTTGTTGCAAAGCGTTGAATGTTTTGCATGTAAACTTACGATGTCATAGCTTCCACTGTCCTTTAACATACATTCAGTTACTACGACGATCTACAGTATCATTTTTGTCAGAAATGACGAGCGCTCATTAAGATTTCTACTAATTTTGGCACCTACAACCATAAGATTAGAAAGCCAATGCAATGCCACACTATTGGCACTTTAGCAGTCAGTTAACAGGACTCCGGAAGGTATTCCAATCAGTTCGCTTTGGCCTTGATCAGGCTATAAAGTTTCAATGGGAACTGTTACATGGCAATGTGTTTGCAGGCTATTTACTCTTTGTGCACGTCTCCTTACGTCAGCACGGTAAAATGACAATGTTGTAAAAACCTGTGCTTTTTTTAAAAAACTTCGCTTATTACCGTGCCTCCAACCATGGAATCACAAAATTTCTTGTGCATGGCACTATGCATTCGCCGACATTATCTCAGAAAGTGGCATAGTAGGTATACATCGTCAATGTGAAACAAAACGTCATGTCGATGGCTTAGTAAAAAATTTTTACTTACACTGGTTCCTCCACTCATTAAGTCAGAAAGTGTTATATTTTTTAAAGTAATCCTGTCATGAGGACCAAATAAACTGGGAAAAATTCGTCATGCAAAGTTTCTCATGATGAATTCAAGCTTCCAGACAAGAGATAGAATTTATGGACACATTGTAAACACGGCTGCGAAGTCGTTGTTTGATCAACCCGCAGTAAAAATCGTTCACGCAACGTCTACACTGCCGAGACACTGGTGCTGCACTGATGCACAGTGTCCACTACCCATCATCCAAGACCGACCAACGAGCGAAATCGAATCGATCAACGACACGTGGCCCGTTCGTCTGAAGATAGCAATCTGGACAGACAACGAAAATGAGGAAGAGAGATCCAACCGTCGGCGACTTTGCAAACGTCAAAATTCTCTCTGCTGGTAAAAGAAACCTGATCGAGTCTGAGAGATAAGACCTGTCTGTGACAGTCGTGCCACTGTTCAGCCGCGAACATCTTCCAGCTGCTCTGTACCCGACCGTTTCTCGACATCGATTCATCAGTCGCCGGAAAATGCAGGGACGAGAAGGACGCGAAGAAGAAGAGTATATCCAATAATTAACAATCAAACGACATTGAGTCAATACCAAACATATTCGGAAACGACGTGTCTTACCGAGAGCAAGATAACGCGGCCTTCTTTTTTAGGAAGCACATTTTCCTTGGACGTAGATCGATTGGCCAGAAAGCTCGAACAAGGTTTTCGCACCTCCATATTTGCACTAAACAAACGTCATTACAGAGAAAAACCGGACCTGCAGTAGGCAGCCACGTTATTCGCAAAAGCATGATTATAAAATTTTGTATAAAAACAAGTAAGCATCACAAAATGTAAATAAGCAAGTTGAGTAGAATAAAGTCAATATGACCGACTGATAGACTACCGCCGACTTCTTGGGCGGCGTTGATCTCGTTATCGCGTGTAAACTAAGTAGCATGTGTGTAGACAACACAGAGACACAAACCTATAATTAACTCAGATAGAAGCGACAAACAAACCGACTCAGAACCAGTCTGGCCTGTTCGGCAAAGGCCGTTGACACATGGAACGGGTGAAAACTGTTAAATTAACTTTGGTAACGATCTTATGGTGACATATTTATCTGAAGTGTAAGACGCGTCCGTTACGAATGTGACCGAAGCGCTGAACGACCTCGACCCAATGTCGAGACCAAGACAGTGATCAGCGGCGATAGGCCAACGATGTCCGGCGAATTCCGTTACTGATACAGAACAACATGTTAACATGCCCCAAAAACCCACTGGACCGAACATCCAGTAGCAAACGCTCCAGTCAGGGCTCCGGTTAAGCTAGAAGTCGGTTGAAAATAAGTTCAACTATATCTTTAACTATTTAACGCTTTTCAGGGCAAACATGACATGCACGCAAATAAATGAATAGGTTTCCGGAAACGTCATTTTTCTGCACTGGATTAGTCTGTAATGATTAATAATCATGAACATGCACCGAACGCGGTTTTCTGCAACTGAGTGACTAAAGTGAAGAAAAACTATTACGTATTCAGTCCCGTTCGCCTACTATCTTTTCATATGCCGACCCGAGATCGAAACGACACGGTCATTATATGTGGCCTATACAGTATACACTGCAATTACCGACTCGCCTGGTGCACAAACCGAGTAAATAAAATTTACGCCCAACCCTTTGAACTACAGC